GGAGACTTGCTGAAGCCACCAGCCCTGGCCCTGGCAGAACCTTGTCCCGATCAAACCCGGCGCCGGGCAGCGACCGGAGGGAAAAATTCCCCTCAGGAGCCTTGGTGCGGGGCTGGATGCGGTGAGTGATGCGTCCATACCGGCAACACCCGGCAGGAAACGCTGTAATTCAACATGCTGTGAAAATGGCCTTCTGTGCCGCTCCCTGAGCGGTTTCTGTCAGCTGGCTCCCAGCGCCCTTCTAGTCCATCTTTCCTCATCTCTTCTTTTATCGATTACTTTTAGAGTGTGAGACGGGATCACGCCGGAGTCCTGCGGGGCTCACATGAGGTCTGCCACAGAAGGTTGTCGCAAGAACTGCTGTCCAACCAGGGCACCCTTTAGGGAGTTTCTTTCCAGGCCAGGGCCAGGGATCTGTCACACAACCAGTTCCAATTCCACCCCACACTAAGGGCACAAACAGGTTCTTTTAGGGATCCTTGGCTGGATCCTTTAATTTTACAATTAAAGCTTTACTTTCTTAACAGGGAATTATGGTTCGTATATCATGGAATTTACAATTAGAATGGCACAGGATTTCTACAAGAATCTTTTCAGAATCAGTGTAGCACAATAAGCAGCGTAATACAGAATTTATAATACAACTTAACTTAGGATTTCTAAATCCTAACTTAACTTGTAATTTCTAATCACCTAGATCCTAACAACTTTCTAATCACCTAGACCCTCTGCAGATTGGGTCAGATCGTACTACGTGGGTTTCTGTATCAATATAACCATCATAATGTAGAGTTGAAAATCATATAAAACAATATGAGTCACTCAGTCCTCGCAGGAAGCAGACAACGGTGGAGGTGTCCCTGGCTGTGGAGGGCTCATGGGTCTCGCTGTCTCCTTGGTTCACGGGACCTCCAGGGCCTGATAATGAAGGAAAGGGAATGAATACGTGACCCACTCGGTCACAGAGAATGGCTGCTTGCCTTATAAAATGGCGTTAGTTATGCTAATCACATTACCAGGGGTTGGGAGCAGGGGGTACCGGACACACCCGCCTTCCTTTTTTTGCTGAGGAATGTTATAAACTGGTCTTATGGGGGGGTATTAAAAAGGAAGAGCTGCCTGAATCAGCTGCCGCCACAGCTGTTTCCTCTGAGATGACAGATTAGGCTGTCCCCACAACACTTAGCAGTAATCCCTTCATGACAAATCCTGTCTCCCACCCAGCAAATATCTTTATTTTGGACAACGTTTATATTGTCAGAACATAAACCAGATTCTTAAAGCGTAGGCCAGCGATTCATGAGGCGTCAGAATGCCTGAAAGGGCTGAAACCTTGCAGCTCCACTTGACACATCCATGGAAAGACTTCAGTTATTTTTTAAGCCATCTGTAATGAGAACATGTCTCAAATCCCACTTGGGCATTTGCCTTTTCAGATATTTATTGGACTTGTCTTGACTAGAGAAAAGCAAAGGCACACACTCTGTCTCCCAGAGGTGCCCAGAACAAAAATAACTGGTTTAAAACAATGAGCAAATTCCTGGAATTGTTTTAGTTATCCCTTTTGATTTTCTAACAATATGCTCTATTGTTTATTTGTAGATTGAGGCAGAAGTGCAGAGAAGAAAACAATTAATTCATCAGTCAGCAGAACGCAAAGCCATCATCTCAAAGTGCTACAAACGAAAACACCCAGAAGTGTACATTCTGCAGGTAGACAGTATGTTTGGAATCTATTTTGCACCCAAGGAATTGCCTGACAGTTTATTTTTGCAGTATGAAGCCCTCTTCTTGGGATGGCCCACAGTGCTAGAGCTGGACTGAAATAAAACCAAAGTGTAGCATATTAAAACTGAATTAAAAACTTTCACAGCGTAGCATATTCTCCAGGCAAGCTTCTGCCTGGCTTACAGCCAGATAAGGCTCATTTTATATTGAAGCTGCACCAGCACGTGGTGCTGGACTCAGAATACCATCAGTAAATTAGACCTAAAGCATCAGTGCAGGAAACAGGGTAGGTGAGGTCTAAGAACAGCCACAGAAATCAGCTTTTATGGGCTTAACACCCAGAGGAGTTACTAGTGACTGTCATCTGAAGGGGGGCAGCAGGCTGCAAATGCAGGGTAGTCCTCTGTTGTGGGCTACTCTGCTTTGAATTTCCCTCTGTTTGCCAGACCCAAGACTTCCCAGCTGGATAGTTACCACAGATCAGCAGTAACACACAAACAAGCTCTCACAGATTTCCTGCTCTATGATCCTTTAGTAACAAGGTCTGCCGTTGTCTGTCGTGATCTGCGTGGGGAAGTGCTTAAACCAGAGCATAGTCGCTCTATTGTGCTGAGGCCATGACAAGATGCTAAATCCACTAGAAAAGACTTTGCGCTTACCCGTTAGGAGTCCTTGTGAGCCAGGCTCTTCCCCGTCACGCTAAGGATAAATCTGGCCAGTTATACTTAGAAATCCATGAATTAGAGCAAGCAGCAACTTACTTAAACCACCAAGAAAAACACCACTTCCTGCCACAGAAGTAACCCAAGTGTGAGTGTCGGCCTTGATCCCTAGACTCTACGTATTTTCCTGTGGCTGCCTGGAAGTCCATTTCCCTCTTGGGCCGTAAAAAGACTGCAGGCTAATTGTGTTTCTGTGTATTTTTATCATCCTTCCCTTGACGCCAGGATTCATTCCTGGCCCCAGATTTTCTAGAAATCGTGAGATACTGCACATCGCCGGATGCTCATCCCCATGGCCTCCTGCGCTACATTGAGTCCTTCTCAGGTAAAGAAAACAACACATCAGCCACAAAGATCTCCTCGAGTGACACTGCAGCTTCAGTGGTGACAGCTGTTTTCAAGCCCTGTCTTTAATAGCTCAGATTTGATACACAGCTGAGACAAACAGGATGTTATTTTCTGCTTGACGAGAGTCTCTGGAGAGGCAGAGTGGTTGTGCTCTGGATGAGATCTTGTTTTCTGCTTTTCTGATCCGTCTGCTGATGTCTCATCAGAGGCTCTAGCTGCAGCAGGGCTGGGGTTTTGGTTGTGCCACAACCTCACGGGGGAGCCTGCTGAAGGAACACTGTTGGTCCAGGGAGCTTGTTTTTCCCTCCCCGAGTGCTTTACTATTTCAGACAATCCCTGTCGATTAGTCTGAGCTGAAGTAGTTTCAGTTTAGCTTTCAGTGTTTAAAAAGAGGTCTGGGTTTTCAGCTGCCCTGGTGGCATCCGTGAAGCTCTCTCCCCACCAGAAATGCTGACGAAATGTAGAGGGGAAGCTGCCAAGTTGCCTCCTTTTCTCAAGACACAAAGAAAGATACAAAATGTCATGCATGTGCAGGGCTCCTGGGTTTGTCCACAGCCTTTCCGTGCTATCTTTATCTTGGCTCCTGTATCCTCAATACCGTGCTCCCCTTAAAGGCAGCTTGGAAGGCCTTGTCTCCCCAGAAGGGTGGCACTGGATGAGTGAATCCCACATCCCCTAAATAACCTTGAGTCTCCTCCTTCCTGGAGGCTGTATTCAGACCGCCCGTGATGAGCCCTTGATTAACCGCCCTCCCTCTAGACCCGCTCAGAACATTTCCTTGGCACATTCAGCAGACATTTAAATCAGTGCCAGATCTCCCGACTGGATGGGGAAGCCTGGAAACGAGGGGCCAATGTGAAAACCAACAAATACATCCTAGAGCCGATCCCGGGGAATGGTTCCAGCCCTTTGAGCTGCCCAAGCATGCACAAAGTGAAGCACGTGGGTCCTGCGTTCTCACTGACACAGCACAGCGTAGCTAGACAGCACGACAGCCAAGAACACTCCCGCCTGTTATCTTCCCCAGCAAACGGTGTCTCCCTTCTCTTGACAGATAAGAGGATCTATCGACTCCCAGTGTTCACAGAGGAGTTCTGCCAAGCATTTGTCGATGAGCTGGAGAACTTTGAGCAGTCGGACATGCCTAAAGGCAGGCCCAACACTATGAATAACTATGGGGTAGGACTCACTAGCTCTTGTGCTTCTTTGTGGGGGGGAGTGTTCACGAGCAGACTGTTTCCTCCTTGCTTCACACTCCTTTCCCTTCCAAAGTGCCTGTAATTTGAGCACAGCGCAGTTTGAGTTCGGCCCCCTTGATGTGAAAGGGTTGAGGGAATGTGTGTTACACAGAAAAGGATGGGGAAGTGCAGGGAAAGGGGACGGGAGTTGGTATCTCAGAGGAAAGAGCACCTTGTATTTAAGCAAGACACATTTAAATCAAGGAGTCAATCTTTAAAGAACATTCCATTTTGATCTTACTCTGTCTTTCCCCCATCACTTTCTGCCTTGATCCTCCTTCTTTTGCCTGTAGCTGGAGCCTTTGCTCTAAAGTTCTTTATCTGAGCAAGCAGTAGGGTTGGAGGAGAACAAGACAGCTCTGCAGCAGCTCTGATGAAGCAGCAGAAATAGTTGGTCAGCTGTTCCCATCTCCTCTCTCTGAGACAGGTTTTGCTAAATGAGCTTGGGATGGATGAAACTTTCATCACACCCCTGCGTGAAAAATACCTGCAGCCCATAACGGCACTGCTTTATCCCGATGTGGGAGGCGCTTGTCTGGACAGCCATAAAGCGTTTGTTGTCAAGTACTCGCTACATGAAGATCTGGATTTGAGCTCTCACTATGACAATGCAGAAGTCACCTTAAATGTTTCGCTGGGAAAAGACTTCACAGAAGGCAACTTGTACTTTGGGGATTTCAGCCAGGTATGGAGCATATTCCTAATCTGGACCCCGACTGTATTCCCCTCTACCTCCTCACCCCTGCCAGTTTCAAGGCATTAACAGTGTTCTAAAAAACAATTATTCACTTCTGACAGTCAAACCTGCTCTGTCCCTTCCCCTTTCTTTAAATGCCTTGGCTATACAGGAGCCTTCTCTGCTACAAGCACGTTGCCAATACTCAGGCTTCAAAGAGAGGACAGAGAGCTATTGTAGTAGTTTCACTCACTGGAGTGAAACAAACCAGTCTATCTTGCCACAACTGAAATAGCGAGCAGGGAGAAAGAGAGAAGAAATTTCTTTCAGATGAGACTTAAACCTAAATCTGTAGCCCCTGTTTCCTGGGGACTCCTGGCAAGAAAGGGGTAAAAGTTCCCATGCATCGGTGAAACAGTTTCTTTGATTGAAACTCTGTCTTTAAATTCCCTCTGGACCTGGCACTGGGAATGTCTTACTGGAAAACAGTTGTACTAAACTGCTGCCAAGCCACCACTGAAGTGGCTGCATTTCAGAGGTGCAGTGAGCCCTCTCCGTGTTGCTCATGGGTGACGAGGTGACAAGTAAAAGTTTCAGCTATTTGAGCATTGTTCTGCTGGGGGCTCTCTGGTGTAATGGTGTATCCGCCTCCCCTTGTTCCAGGATCCTACCCCTGTGCCAAAGTACATAGAGATCGAACATGTGGGAGCCCAGGGGCTGTTACACCGAGGAGGGCAGATCCACGGGGCACTTCCCATTGCCTCCGGGGAGCGCTGGAACCTCATTATTTGGATGCGATCGTCTGCCGTCCGCAACCAGCTCTGTCCCATGTGCAACAAGAAACCTGAGCTGGTGGAAGCAGAGGGCTTTGGGGATGGGTTCACAGAAAGCCCTGAAGACGATGTGCCCGAGACTGTGAATCTCTGTTCCCTGTGGTAGCAGACGGTAGAGCCTGATTTCTCCAGGCCAAGTTGCCTAAAGCTCCTTTCTCACCTCTCAGACTGCACTAACAGACTCTTTGATGGATGCACGAGTCACGTAAGAAGTAGCTTTCGCCTTGGAAAGTGATGCAAAACCAGTCCTGCTGGGGTTAGGGAAGCCTTTTGATGGGTGAAAGAGCTGGTGCTCAGCTCGGAGGGCTCATTCTTGGGCTGGAGGGCTGCTTGTAAGACGTAGAAAGCCTTCACACTTCGATTCAATAAAGGGTACAATAAAGCCCTGCACTTACCCCTTCTCTGCTGTTGGCAGGGACTCCTGTCCTCTTCCAGGGACAGAGCTCTTTGTTGCTGGGGGACAGGCAG